CTAGGGTTCTCGTGCTTCAGCAAAGAAACGGTGTGTTTACAAAAGTCACTAAGGTCCCTAGGACTAAAATGCAGACCCCCAACAATCCTCGCAAGAATGTGCGACGCATGCTTCAGCGATCGGCCTGCGTAAAAGCCCGAGGCGTACTGCAACAGGCCTTGGATGACCTGAGCCTCGTGTCGTCGGATTTCTCCTTTCAAGCTGATTTCCTGAAGACGGTCAACAATCCTCTCTATCCTGCCCTGTTTGTTGGCTAAGACTACAGTACCCTTAGCAAGATCACCTAAACCCAAATGCATACCAAGGACGTCGAAGTCTGATGCAAAGGGTCGTCCTTTCGCACCCGTCTTGGCGTGACGCCAACCTAGGGCGTCCAAGAACGCACTCGCCGTGGTGTCGGCGTTGTCTGCACTTCCTGCCGGCGACATCAAAGGATAATCGTCAAAGAATACAGCAGCTGGTATACATAGAAGTTTGTTCATGAGAAACCACAAGGCTCTAGAAACCCTATTGAAGGCATAAACCGCTGCAGTACTGCCGAACATCAGTGAGTTCGAAACATATAGGGCATCCTTTCCATCCGATTGCCTAACGGCAATCACTGAAAGAGGTCGGTGACTCGGATGGATAGCAAGTTGTTTGTACGCTTTACTGAGGTCAAGGGTTTTGCCCTTCCACTCCGATGCATCCTTGTGCGCTCGGCCTTCGCTCACTTCCCTCGCTACGTGGAGGCCATGGCTGAGATGTAGTCCGAATCTTGTAACCGCAGGTGAATGCTGGAGCGGTAGCCCGCGTTTAATTGGGATTCCAAGCAGTTGTCTATGGGTCTGGGTTGTAGCTCTGCCCCCTGGAGCAAAACAAACCTTCTGATGACTGTCCAATCGTTGGTTCCCAGCAATTCCGTAATCTGGCTCTGATCATAGTAGGGGCCCTCCAAGAAGCCCATGGCCACTTCCTCATCCGTGGCCTCTTTCAAGATCCGTGCCTCCTCCGGGTCTACCCTTTCGAACTTACTCAACAAGGACTTTCGTCTGGTGGCCGCTGAGGCCATGAGCTCCGTCTCTGTCAAGAAAGCGGGGACAAACTTACGATCAAAGCATTCTGGGCATTGGGAAGTCCCGACCAACCTTACCCCTTCCTTTAAGAAACCGATGACTTCGAGATCGTCGTAGCCCTCGGACTTGAGTAAAGATTCCAACGCCAAGATGGATTTGCCGCTCATAACCTTAGCCACTGCCGGGTGCATGGCCTTGTGAAGCTCCGCCTCATCATCACTGCATCTCTTCACCTCCTGCTTCACTCGCGCCACCGCCAAGTTTCGCTTCAAGACTATGAGCCTCGGGTCTTTAGTCAAGTTTTCTTTCAAGGCAAACGACGTGGCTTTCTCAAGTGGGTTTGAAGAATCTACTGGATGAATGACCTTCTTAGCCTCCTCTACAAACTGTTCAGGAGTCCTGTATACCCCAACCCTAACCCGGTCACCAACCCTCTCAGCTGGATCCCGTGAACTAATCGGGGTATTGGCCTCCGAGATGGTCCCTCTCAAAGGGGTGTTACTGGTAGGCTTTGAGGCCTCTGGGATGGTCCCTCCCAAAGGGGTGTTAGGATTGGGCTCAGTGGAAGCTCGAAGCTCCTCACCCCCGATGCTGCGCAAGAGCTTCAAGTGTTTTTGTGATTTGAATGCAACGGCCGGCATAGTAATCACAGACTGGTATTCGGAAATCAGCGGCGGATGACGCTTGTTTTGTCGGCCCAACATGGCCAACGAGAGGTCCTTAGGGGATGGGCGACGACACAGGTTGAGGCCTAGCGACAAAGCCTTGCGCTCCACACAAGAAGCGAGGCGAGAGGCAAACAATGCTGGGTAGGCTGCCTCATCCTTCGTGGCATACCGAATGGAGCCAAACTCAGCAATTTGTCCCCAAGGTTTGTGCATGTGCTTTCCATCGCAAAGGGCACGCAACGGCTCGAAGCAGCCAGGCGTTGCAAGCAACTTTGTGCGTTTGGGGCGAAAGCCCCCATGGCAACACAAGTCAAAGATGACTGACTGCAGTCTGGGAAGGATACGGTTAGCAACCCCTTGCGGCTCAAAGGCTTGCAACACCTCCCATAGGAAACTATTTGCGGGATTCTCAAGACTGACCACTATGTCGCGCTCCAGGCAATATCGCAAAATGCGATATGTGAAGGCATACAAACGGTTTGCCAACTTTACACGAGTGGCCTCAATTGACCCAGGCTTTAAGAAGGGCAGGCCCAGCGGGAACTCACTACTCCTAAGAGGTTGGGGTCCCGGCTGTCCATTGTAAAAAGGTCTGCCTCTGGCCTTGCTGCTGGTCCCGCATGGGGCGCCCAAATGTATTGCGAACGGGCGCTGTGTCTCAAGGAATTCCCAGAACAAAGCTTGCCCTGAGTCTGTTGCCAAATCAAGCTGCGAGATGGGCACATGAGAATCGCAATGATGTTGGTCGAAACTGTGGACAACGAATCCGCACTGCATCAGGGCCCGGGACAACAAGCCTTTGCCTGCGAAAACCTCAAACACCATGGGTGGCCGTTCTCCCAGCTGCGCCGTTTGCACAGGCAACGGCACCTCAGGAGGTAGCACGAAGTTCAATTGGTTCGCTGCCTCCACATCCTTCGGTTCTAATTTTTCAAGTTGCTGCACCACCCAAGTGATCAGCACAACTCTTCGACCTGACCAAGGTTCAGTTTCGTGGTATTTAGACCAAGCGTCAAAGATAAGCGGCTCGTCCTCAATTTCGTGAACCGCTCCAACCAGCTCTTTAGAATTGAAGACTCGAACATCGTCCCCAGGGCCCTCTATCCACAAGCCCCCCTCCTTAAAATCACTCAAGCGAAAAACTGCATTAGGCCACTGCGCGTTGCGGCCGTCACGATGCAAAGGCGTGAGACTGTCTGCAAAAATGCCACATGTGGAGAAAACATGACCTGGAAGACGCTCCTGCACAAAGCGGGTCATGACACGACTTGCGTACGGAAACTCTGCACACTCCTTACGCAACCCACGGAATCCACCTTGGGAATAACAGCCGGTTACGAAGGACTGTTTCACGTCCCTCTGACCCTTCTGAAGATTTCCCTGAGGGAGCATATCAAACAAGGTCAAGAGATCAGCACTCGAGATTTGGCCCGGTTTACTCAAACGGGCCTTGGACCACCCCTCAGCATCAGGGACCAGCAGGTCCCCAGTTTGCAATGCGCCCCCGTCGCTCCCTCCACTGATGGGCGCACTCAATGGAAGGGACCTTCAGGCACCAGCCTTCGGGCAGCTGGTGTATGGATGATTTCCGAAGCAACCCTTTTTCCAACACTTGTGGTAGCCCTTTATGCACCGGCCCTGCTTACAGGTATTCTTGCAACCGTGCGTGTTATAAGCGAAACACAAAGGCTTGTTGGCATCATCTTTGGTCACACAACCCTCCGGCAAATCTAACTTTGAACCTGTCGCGACCTTTCCCTTGTTCCCCTTGTCCTTTCCCTTCTTGCCTTTGCCATCTCCCTTGGGAGGGGTCCAAGGTGCATGCGGGATTACAGGGTTCTGCAAGGGTGCCAAATACTGCATGATGTCAGGGCTCCTGGACAGTCTACTGATCTCCGCGTCCAAAGCAGGGGCCGCCCCTGGCGAGGCCGTTTAACGTCCCATGAGGTTGTTGCTTGCAAGAATAAACATCTGCTTATCTGCCTCAATGATTTGCGAAAGCATGACACCCTGAAAGCCCTTCGGCTGCGCTCTCTGAAGAACCGAAAACAAGAATTGAACATGTTCCTCCATGACCCTGAAGCTTGCAAGGTTCGCCAAATCGAAGGCTAAGGAGCGGCGGCTCCAAGCCTGGCGCAACCTCATCTCTGATGAAACGTCACATGTCTGATCTGCAGATTTCGTTGCAATCTTCAGGTTGTTGTCGGCATCAATGTTTATGCTGCTGTCCCTCTTCAAGCACTGTGCTTCCTGCGCCCTACTAATCCACTTGCTGGGAACGTGATACTGCAACACACCTGTTTCAAGCATTTCCACGCACAGGTCTACACACGAGTTGGCTGGCCGGGTTTCAGGAGTGAAAACCAAACCTCCCAGAGACCTCTCCTGCCTAGCCTGCCTATCCAAGCGTTCCGCCGCTGCCAGCTTCTTAGGATGTCCTTCCACGCCGGGCTCGATGCGGGTACGAACTTCTTCAATCGCCATGCTCACTCCTGCGAAAAGGAGCCGACGGAGGCTGGCTTTCTGAAAACCAGACGGTCTCATGCCCAATCCATCAATCCAGTTGTCCACTGCCTCGTCGGTGAGGGTCGTTGGCGTAGCCGACACCGCAAAGGCGAGGCGGCCAAAGGTGTTGAAGCTGTTGTTCAAGAGTCCTGTAAGGGTTTCCTCGGACAGTCCGATCTTCCTAGCACGGTCCAAGAAAGCTGCTTCCGAATCAAGGTTCGCAGAAGCCATGACACACCCAGATTCCGCGATCTCACGAACAAAGAACTGACAGCTGTCCCCCCTTGCACTAGATAATCCCCTCATCAGAACTTCAATGATGCATGAACATGTTTCTCTAGTGCGTTCAAGCAATACTGCCTCGAAGCTGGAGCCAGATGCCATTGGACTTGCAATCGAGCTCTCACCCAGCTCCCCTCTCTCTGGCACCGCTTCCAGGTGCCAGGGGCAGTAGCATCTGCATGACAAGTACGCATATTGCACCGCTCCCAGGCGCCAAGGCAGTAGCATCTGCATGACAAGTACGCATATTCTTCCGAATCCCCTCTCTCTGGCACCGCTCCCAGGCGCCAGGGGCAGTAGCATCTGCGTGACAAATACGCATATTCATCCGAATCCCCTCTCTCTGGCACCGCTCCCAGGCGCCAGGGGCAGTAGCATCTGCATAACAAGTACGCATATTCTTCCGAATCCCCTCTCTCTGGCACCGCTCCCAGGCGCCAAGGGAATAGCATCTGCAGAAACAAGTGCGCATATCCTCTGCCTCACTCGTTCATGGCTCTCGTACATTGCATGCATACATCGGGATCTTCAGTCCCAACTCCAGAATATCTGGAGTATCTCGAAGTGCACAAACGACCACAGTAAAAGAAGCTTGAATCCCGAAGGCAATGCGCAATGCCTGATATACTATGAATCCGGCACTGAGAAACATCGACATTAGCAAACGGCACTCTCACTGCAGGTTGGCCTGGAAGCTCAAAGGGCCCGTCGGCCTCAGCATCATCTGCCGAGTCCTCCGACTCGCCCTCAAACCCAGCCAACTGCTCTGCGGCCGCCTCATCCCGCGCTCCTGCCAGGCCTTGACCTTCCTCAGCCGCGGCCAAGGCGTCAGCAACTTGTAGCACTCTGTCTGCAGGCGCGAGATCTGGCTGAAAAGCTCCGCTTCGGATCGAGCGGTAAAGAGCTAAAAGCTTGCCGATCAAACTCGTATAAGCCTCGCGGCTATAAGTCACCATACTTTTGACCCCCGGTACAATATGGTGACCCAACAGGAGACGTTCTCCTTTGCTCAGGCGCACCACTGTTGATCGAGAAGCCCACGTAAGCAGGGTGACCTTCAAAGAATGTGTTCCCAGAACTTGTCCCTCCGATTCAGAGCCTTCCAAAATCTCCGCTAAGTAGGAAGACGCCTCACCAGCTCCCATAGGCGTGGAGCCCCACTGATCCAGTCGCTGAGACCTTGTAGGAAGGCAAAAGCCATCCGGTCCAGCACCGAACGTGAGCCTACACTGGCGTCTGGCTTCAATCCACAAGCGCGCCCAAGAGCATTCAGTAAGCCCCTGCACCAGCGCCGCGTATGGTGTGAATTTTGTTTTGGCCTCCTTGCTCAAAGACGTCTTGCTTCCCAGAGCATCCCCAAACAGAATCTGGCTCTCTCCCGTGCCCAGCAGCTCCAAAAGTTTTAGTTTCTGGGAATCCTTCCAGCGACAAACGGCATGCACGCAAAATAAAATCTGTCCCAAGATACATTGACCAACCGGGCCAGCTCTCACCATTGCTTCTTCAAGTCGCCGCACCTGGAAGCATGTCAGCGGGTCACGCTGCTCCAACGGCGCCTTTGACTCAAAGCATGAATGAGCAACACCCTTGCATCTAGCAGAGATCACCAGCTCCAAATCCATATGCAAAAATCTTGCAATGGCATGAAGAAAATGTAAACTCTCCAACATGTGAGCTGGTGATGTTGCCCCACAACCTTCCTCACGCAATGTGGTCAAAGCAGAATACAAGTCTGCCTCCTCCATGCGCCACGGAGAAGCCACCCCTTGCTTATAAAGTTGTTCTATAGGTTTAGTTGTGCTTGCTAGCGGAATGCCGAAGGCTTTAAGCTGAAGTGCAACAAGGCATCGCATGGAGTCTGAGGTATTTTCCAGGAGTGCCGATTTGTCTCACATGTTGTAACGAGTGAGACCCGAAGCATGCAGGTTGATGGGTGGCTGAGTTTTGCCCGCCCACACTAGCGTTACAGCAGTAACGTAAAGCAGAAGAAAACGAACATGCGAGTGATACCGTGTATACCCGACGGATAGAAGCGCGCTGAAAAGGGTATGATATACTGCTGTGGGACCGACATACGCGAGCACAATACTGTTCGGATGTGAAACGAAGCTGCAAGCGAGACCAGTTGCGATAAGGCTGTATTCGTTTAGGAGAAACAAAGCAAACGTGTGGACCTCACCTGGTGGCCAATGCCTTGTGAGACGAGTGAAACTGGGTGGGAGGGTGAGGCTTTTCGAATCCGCTAGCAAGCACAACTGTTTACTGAGCCAAAATGTTTCGCACACATAAACTATAAAACATATGTGAATAAATACACACAACGTTCTATAGGATTAGTTGTGCTTGCTAGCGGAATGCCGAAGGCTTTAAGCTGAAGTGCAACAAAGCATCGCATGGAGTCTGAGGTATTTTCCAGGAGTGCCGATTTGTCTCACATGTTGTAACGAGTGAGACCCGAAGCATGCAGGTTGATGGGTGGCTGAGTTTTGCCCAAATAGAACTACCCAGCAACCTCGCTCCCGAAAAGCCCAAAACTATGTGAGGTTGTTCGGCACTCCTGGGGCTCGCACGGTCCAAGCCAGCGAAGCATCGCTTGGCGAAATAGAAATGGCTGGTCTAGGCAGCCAAAGATCACTGAGACGAAGCCTGATGCGATCAACATCGAGGCAATCTGGGGGAATCTCATGTTCAGCCGGTCTTGAAAGTGCATCTGCTTTGGTGTTTTTCTCCCCAGGAATATGGGAAACGTCAAGAGTGGTACGGTAAACTGCGGCAAGCAAAGAAATGCGTTCAAGGAAATATGCAAGTGGGCGTGAAGTCGTAAAAGATGCATTCACACCTGCTTCGGCTCCACTGTTGTCTGAAACCGTCCGAAGCTTGATTCTAGAGCAAGGTATCAAGGCTGAGGATGCGATAATCAGCGCCCCTTGAGCGAGCGCTTCATAGCACGCAATGTCAAGCTGCATATCTTGCTGAACGGGAATCTGAAGCTCGCGGAATTCCTCATACGTGAATTCTTCCCTGAACCACCTTTGCCCTAACGAAGGATGCGACACGAATCCACCAATGCAAGCCCGCTGACCTTGGGCACTGGCATCTGCTTGTGCTTCCATTGGAAGCACTGATGCCGGACGCATGCTGATCATAGGGCTCATGTGAAGTAGCCAGGACTCGTACAGTCCCAAGATGCGCACAGATTCTGTACTCAAACGACGCTTGTTGCTGGATTGACTGGACACACGCATCCAGATGCGTCTTTCTGTGATGCGAACGCTCTTTTGAACTCTTTGGGTCGTCACTGGTCAGGCTGAGTCAGCCTCGTGTGCCGAGGCCTCCTTGGGCCCGAAGAGTGGTACTAAGTCGCAGTTTGTACAAGCCGTGAGAGAACAGCTACCTCAAGACATGTCGGCATGAACATGAGACTGAACAAAAAGTCATGCCAACATCACTCTAGCTAGGTTTGTTGAGCTAGAGAATGTTTCAAAGAGTTCGTGAACTACGTAGTCGGAAGCAACAGCAGACTGCCAGTGCCACTACAGAAGGAGCGAGACTACAAGCAGGCTCAAGCACTCAAACTGTACACAGTGTTTCAGAGGAGCTCGTGGTGGCACTCAGTTCACCTCGCCAGCGGCCGCCGCTCCAGCAGCCACCGAGTCAGCAGCCACTGCGCCAGCAGCCACCGCGCCCGAAGAAGCGGCCCCAGCAGCCGCCGCCCCATCAGCAGCTGCGTCGTCGTCATCGTGTTGCCCATTTTGGGGTCTTGCAAGGCGTCGTTGCTCACACCACTGGCTGTAGGCTTGGCCAACGAGTGCTGAGAGGTGGATCGCCTGGGTACTCCAAGCAATGGCTTCGCGTCGTCGTCTATGCCAAGTGGCACGGGCAGAGTTGAGATGCCGTTGATGCATCACTGCACGCGCAGCGGCATCGGCTTTGTCATTGAGCAGTCTGCAGAAGTCAACTGGCAAGGGAAAGTCTGGCGTCCAAGCGGCTTGACGTCCATGTGCGGGCATCCATCGCAGATTCAATTTTAAACCGCATCTGGTGGAAGCTTCAAGATGTGTGGCGATTTGTTGCACGAGCAGCTGAAGGGTCGCACACGACCGCGACTTAAGTGCAGCAAGCGCGGCTTGACAGTCCACCAAGACGTACACTTCGCCTCGTGCCCCAGCCAAGGCAGCTACAACGCACGTCTGGGCTAACTCACGGAGGGCCAGAAGCTCGGCACGGTAACTGGACTGGTCTTCGTCGTCGTCGCCAAAAGCAAAAGTCGAGAAACGACCAGCCTGGTGAAGAACGATTGCAGAGCCAGCCACGTCTTCAAGGTGCGAGCCGTCGGTGGCGATGCATGGTTGAGCCTTCTGGTCTGCCGCCAGAAGATTGCGAATAGCATCGGCAAGCTGTGCATGCTGCAAGGGCACTGGCTCAGGCGCAGCAGGGAAAGTCTCAAGCGGAGGGGCAAAGAGCAGCAGGGAAAGTCTCAAGCGGAGGGGCAAAGAGCCTTTCAGAGGCGCGATCAGACGGAGGAACGACCGGGTTGGTCTCGCGCAATGTGCTTAGGCCCGGGCAGCACCACGTGAGGTGCGCTCTCGACGGTTCAAGCTTATCGCACATGCACACTTTATCTGCATCAGTTGGTGTTGGGCGGTGGGACCCGCAGTGCGTGTGCCAAAAACTGGCTCCAGCTGCAACTGCGGCACGTTTTTGCGCAAGATTTTCGGGATTAAGAAAGATTTTTCTATGCGCGGCAAAACAAAACCAGGCCTGTCTAGGGGGCTTAGGGAGACTAAAACCCGAAGCGGCATTAGGGTCAACCCTGTGGTGCGAAGCTTTAATGCGACCGGCATTGTGCACGCCCTGTCGCACGTATTCTTCCTCCAGCCACTGGCGCAGGACCTTCAAGGAAGAGAATCCAAAGCGAAAAACTCGACGGCACCCGTTGCTATCGGTTTTGGCAAGGCCCTCGCCATGAGGAAGGATGGTCCACTTGTGTTTTCGGACCGCCTCAGCCGCCACCGGAAACAGATCCGACCACGGATCGACGGCCTCCCGGAGTGGCACATCATCAAGCCAAGAAGGTCGCTGTGCAACGAAGGACTGGACACGACGAAGGGCTGTGTAATCTTGCATGAAAAAGGGGTCTGTGTTCCATCCCATCATGCAGTGCTGCAAGAAGTACGGCACCTCGGGAGTGAAGCTTCTGCGAAATGCAGCAAGGACCTCGGACCTGATGGTGGAGAGAACGGCATCGCCCGGGGAAGCAACGCCAGCACACCAAAAGACAGCCGAAAACCCCAAAGTCCACATGAGTTGAGTTTTTCGGTGGATGGGCACAGGAAGGTATTTGATGAAGCGGAGGCGCCACAGCACACGATCTAGCACCAACCTGAGCGGCTTGGGGGTGCTTCCCGACAAGTCGATTTCGACGCCTAAAATTTCAAGCGAAGTTTTCTGCATGTAGCCCTGCCGTTCCGCCAAGTCCTGAAGGGAAGTGTCGCCAGGAGCTGCAATGACAGAGCATTTGGTGGGTTCGCACACTAAGTAGAAAGCTCTGTCGAACCTGGTGGATCGTTCCACCGCCTGCCCAATGGCTCGGGCAGGGTTGGCACTCTGCTCCGGCCAAAGAAGCCTGTCATCCACATACATAAGGCCTCGGATTGGGCCTTGTATGACGTAAGAGCTCCAAGCCACGCTGACAGCCAACGCCAATAAAGGACTTAGTGGGTCCCCCTGTACCAAGCCTCGTGAGACAGGAGTCCAGGCTGCGGCCGCAAATCCGCCTGCAACGAAGAGCCGCTCGGCACCCGAGTAGACGCTATTCAAGATGTGTTCCAAGCAGCTGGGTGCACCGAGCCGTCTGAGGATCGGGATTACGGCGTTAAGTTGAAGATGATCAAAAAAGCCTTTTAAATCTTGCACGACAAAAGAATTTACTTGCCTTTTTAGGGCTGAAGCAATTCGAAGGTGTGCGTCTGCGGTTGAGAATCCCGGAGCCCCGCCGAAGGCACTCGGGCTGACCCAGGAGAGGATCCATTTTCTTAAACGTTTGCAAAGACATTTTGCGCCGATGCGCCAAGCAACCTGGAGAAGCCCGATCGGGCGTGTTGACGTTACCCGTTTGGGTAACAATGCCACGAGGCCGCGGCGCCATTGCATCGGCGTCTGGGCTCCCTGCAGGATGGAGTTCCAAAGGCGTGTGAACTGGGCCCACCAGGGCATGGGTAATTCAAGCAGATGATCAGACTTCCACGCGTCTGGCCCCGCCGCTTTGCCTTTCATTTGTTTTGCGACTGCAATCAGTTCCTCCGGTTCAAAAGAAAATTCGCCAGGAAATTCATTTGAAAAAGGGGTCCTTTTTGGCACTGTTTCAAGGATGCTTTGCATGGTAGGGGTGGTGAAGTTTAAGCCTGCTGGCGCAGTCCACAGTTCTGCCCACGCCTTGCCATGTTGCTGCAAGATGGAAGTCGGATGTATCGCCGAGATGGCTTTGCTGACCTCCGGTGGCGCGGCGGCCGCATCACAAGCCTGCTGGGCGCGGGCTTTAACCCAAGCGATTTGCTTGTTGGGCTGCACCTGAAGTCGCTGCCTCCACTGAGCCATGGCAGCGGAGCGTTCCTGTGCCACGTAAGCCTCCAGCAGTTCGTTAACGCTGGGCAAAGCCGTTTCCTCATGACCCTCTGGGAGCGAAGGGAGGTCCGGCACGCTCAAGCGAACTCCTTGCAAAGATGATTTTACCTTCTTGCGGAGG